TAACACATTAGAATGCACGTTCTAATGTTCGTAGAACTCTCTCTTCACGCCAAAACGTCCTTTAACAAAAGGACTAAAGATAGTTCTACATATCAATAAATATTCAATTTGAACTTCACATCATTAATACTCTTCCCGCCAGCTGAATGTGTCAGCAGACTTTCTTTGATCGTTCTTCTTTTCCAATTGCTTTCGTGTACAACAGTAATTGCATTTAATTGCATTGTGCAACAGTAATTGCATTGTTAAAATTCATAACGTGTTTCTTTCCACCGACATGCTGAACAATTTTTGAATTTGGTGCGTGCCTGCGCACATCATAACGGTGTTCCTCAATACGAATGTTAATGTCTCTCGATGTTTCTCCAAAATATTTAAGATCACAGTTTGTGCAAGGAATAGAATAGACAATATTCTTCATTTTCTTACTTTCATCTAATCCCTTTTGCATTGGTAAAAATATACTTTTCAATGTCAGTGTTTTTTTATATGCAATATTCAAATCCACTGTTGGAATCATTTGTTTGCATAGCTTCTTGATTCTTTGTCCCATGCATGCAGAGCAAAAGAAGAATTTTTGAAAAATCTAAAATATCAAACAATAGCGAAAGAAGAAGACAGGAACAAACCATAATAACACATTAGAACGCGCATTCTAATGTGTTATTATGGTTTGGTATTTTAGATTTTTCCAAAATTCTTCTTTCGCTCTGCATGTATTTTTATATATATATACAGTAAAACCTCCCATAGTGAACACCTCTCTAAAATGAACACCTCCTTATTATGAACGCTTTCAAAAAGTCCGAAAAATCGATTTTCGTTGGAAATGTACCTCCCTAAAGTGAACACCTCCGTATAATGAACGGGTTTTTTCAGTCCCGATGGTGTTCATAATAGCGAGGTTTTACTGTACTGCTTCTCTTCCTTTTGCCATTCACTCTTGAAAATGATCTAAGTTGTGATCGAAAGCTCCAGTGTTTAAATAAATTCAGAAGAATTTTATTATGATTTTCATAGCAGTATTATACTTTATATTTAAAACTTTATTTCCAACTGCAAAAGAATAAAACTTGAAAAACTAATAAATCACTTAGAATTGAAAAAGTAGTGACTAGCCCATCTCTGCTCTCCACATTGTTTCTAATTTCTGAATATATAAAGCATAACGAGGTTTGTATTCATCATCATCTCATATAATTTGAAATATTTTCCAGTAAGTTTGAATCGTGCATTGCATAATGAGTACCATCACCACACGCCACTACTACCAATTATGACATTATCATTTATTGTTACTGAACACGAACAATAATTACGATTAAAGACCCACTTTTGAGTTCCGTTTTTATTTGAGCGTTTTGGACGATATAACTAACTTTTATGTAAGATAGGGGTGGGACAGTTCCAGTTCAGTTCTTTTGAACGCGAATTGGTACCAATTCGTTTGAAAAAATTAAAATTAAAATAAAACCGGTGAACCTACTTATAATGACTTTGTGTACTGCGCCAGAGGTAGATGGTGTATTTAGTTGACTAAACCAAGTCAGTATAACTAGCTACATCGGTTTTATTTTATTTTGAATTCTTAAAAAGAACTGATAACCAGTTCTCCTTCAACAGGAACTGAATTGGTGACCAGTGCTTAAGAACTATAGAAACTGGAACTGTTCCACTCCTAATATAATATACCATCCTGATTTTTCTCAGTTTTGATACGAGAAAAATGTAGAATTGTACACATGATAGGATTCGCAGAGAGAATCGAACTAAGACATTGCCTTTCAAGGTAATGTTTCTTTTCATTTTTAGTGCCCCACCCGATCCAGTAATGTCGTTCTCAGCTCAATTTAGTTTTAAGCATCATTTTTAAAAAAATATTTCAATCTGTGTCTACAGTAGCCGATCATTCCTCGAAATTATGAACAGTGTCCAAAGTATGTGAAAAGAAGAAACTCTCTATTCCAAATTCAAACCACGTTTTATTTTTATAAGAAACGAGAGAATATGTGCATTTCCAAATGAGACCGCTTTTACTACTGCAACATATTTACTTCCAAATTGAGACTTTAGACCTTATCTCAGGAGTAAAATTTTGCTTTTCGAACAATATGCTTTTCTTCTCGAGATATTCAAAAAATAGTAAAAATCCTGTATAGAAAACCGGTTTTTGACTTTAAAAACCTTCTGACACTTAAAGTCTCGAATGCGAAGCCTCGCCCTTTTATTTTCTATCATTCTATAACTGTATTTCCTTCTATCAGCTGTTTATTTTTTAATATTAATATAATTACTTAAGGCGCTATAATTTAACTACACCTGCATCAATAACAATCTAATTTTAAAAATCATTTTATGCTCATGAATGAAGCAATGGAAACAGTGTCATCGTGACATTGTTTCAAGGCCTATATATTGGACTATTATATTCTCCTATGGTACAAGTGAATATTACTTTATGTACTTATTTAACGTACTTTTATATAATAATAATGTTTTATACAGAAACAAAATGTCGTAGACAAATTTTGAATTATGACAAACTGAATTTGCAATTAAATGTGGCAAATATATGTCAATATTGTAAAACTGCTGTTGCATATGACTTGTAATGCAGAGTTTGTTACCTCTTTGCAGTTCACACAGTCCTTAATCTATCGATATTACGAGCTCTGGTTGATTAGATGTTATAATAACAATTTTTTTTAGATCACATTGTAACCTGTGGTTCAGGTTAAATAGCACGCTCAGTATTTTGTTGATAACGTTTTTTTTTCTTCATTGCTCAGATCAGTCTTTTTTGCAAAAGATGTGCCTTGAAATTATCTATAAAAAGCCCATTGAATGTTCTGCTACAACATGTAAAAGTGGCATGCTATACGAATAATAGTGAGAAGCTCTAAAACGTCACATCCGTAACGGTGGAAACGGTTTCATTAATTTGTCTGTTGAGCTGTTGAAAAATCCAGATAGCCAATCCTTTGAAAAACTCTATCTTCTACATATGATTAGAAGTTCATGCATAAAATTAATTGAATTTTTTGTGATAGAATAGAATTTTTTTAGTTTTACTCATTGTACCAAAAAATAATCATTTCAGATGGCAGTTTCGCACCATTGTGTAAAATCCTCATAACTCTTCCGAGATTAAACATTTAGGGTTAGGATCCTTTTATTTTGAAACAAAATCATATGCTTATTATATCCAGATGTAAAAAGTTCAGAGACTTTTTCTCTTTCAACATGTTGTGCGAAAAGATCGAATTTGCAGAATGAATTTCCGGGTGCTAATATCAGGCGATGCCACACTCTAATTAATACAAAATTACTGAAAGCAACGATAATAAAAAAACTAATTACTGATTAAATAAATTCCAGTGCGGCACTGAAAAATCTCAGTGCAACACTTTTTCAGAAGATATATATATATACTTATCGGAAACGCTCGAAACCGGTGCCATTTCGGCACATGTTGATAATGACCTGGTCCGTTTTGCACCGGAGCCGTGCAAATCTGACAGAGTAATTATTTCTTAAAAGTAAATATTTTTAAACTTCCATTGTCTTCAAATACCAGTTGCTTCAGCCCCCACTAGTATTCTTCCGACAGCCGGGTATCGTGCCACTCCACCAGACATTTCTTTCTACCTAATTCCATGCAGCTGTAGACGCACACACTCTTAGTTCTCCTTCACTCGTCAACTCAACGATATGTCGTTGGTCGTGAATCACCAGTGTTGGCTCACCAGATCTGTCGCCAAATGTTTTTCTCACAGAGGATAAGTAGAGAATTTCAGACAAACTGAGGTTGCCAGAAGCCTAGAGAATTAACCGGACTATTGCATGTTTCATTTAGAGTTTCCGTGAAAGTAAGCATGCATTGGAAAGATATGGTTGTTACAGAGTTCTGCCACGAAAAAGATGGATACTGAAGATTCATGCGCCAAATCAGATACAAAAAGACGCTAAAAGTTATAATTAGCAGAATAAAGCTCCAAACCAAGCGGTGAACAGATGACTCCGAGACTATGGACCACAGTGGGCATTTTCCCATAGAGCAGGTGGACATCTGATTTCTTGAGTTAGAAAATAATTATTTTAACATAATATGGTCTTACTATGGGTCAGATATTACCAGAAGTAAAAAAGGTCGAATTCGAAAAAAAATTTTTTTCGACAAAAAGTTCCTTAGGTGGACCCTTGCCCTGAATTTTTGTCAAAAAATGTTTTATTTGTAAAAGTAACAAACTATACAGCATTCGACGTAGTTTTTCATGGTGATTCCGACTGTGACTTTATGTTATGGAAAACGTGCTCTTATGGGGGAGAAAAACGCGAATTATCTCGAAAACCCTGTGGGTTTTTGTAAAATCAATAACTCGACTTAGGAAAAAAGACAAGAAAAGACGAGATCATCATATATACACGATAGGCTGAGGAACATTTTCATGTAATTAGAAGGTCTGTTCAGGCTTAGCGCTTTTTAGCGCTGTCACTGCACTGAGGATGTCTCATGTCGAACCATAGTAATCTAGACTGCTAGACCTTTTTTCGTTTCGTACAAGATGCAAAAGGAGTACCTTCTATTATCAGGAGATGCAATAGGTTGTGCTGATTCCGAATATGTGCTTTGGATGGGGTAATATTGCACGTCTGTACATAGAAATAAGACTCTTTGCAGATGTATCATATTTGACGGTGTTTTTTGTGAATGTTCGTAAGTTAACTCACTCATCGAAGGAGTTCATTACTAGTCGATCATTATATACCATTCGATAGCACTTTTCAAGGACTACATTTACTACTGTTCGAATGCAAAAAAGCTCACTTGTCGCTTTTTGCTCAAATTTCCGCCTGAATGTCCACTGTGGCATGGAGACAAACCCAAACATTCTGTTGAAAATCTAGAAGTTGCAGTTGACATTCAAACAATTTAAGAACGACATTTCTCTTATAGTCCCCGTTAAATGATCATAGGTCCTGATTATAGCAAGATTATCTCATAATTGTTGTTTGTCAACTATTTGTGTCGAAAACTGGTTTAAAAACTGTTTAATTTCTTTGACAATGGCTTCTTTATTTGCGGCTACATTTTTTGTATGAACACGCGTTTTTAATGATAATTTTTCTAATTCTGGATGAATATTTGATGATGGATGATGCGGCAATGATCGTAAAGTGTCAAACATTACATTCATATCTGTTGTTTGTGTGGGTTGTTCTTGTAAAGCGGTTAACATTGCTGTTGGGAATTTTGCATAATGTGCTGTTGAAGAAATTAACATGGGTACATTCTCACTATCATCATAGGAGCTAGCAACATGGACTGCTACAGCCGTGTGGGGATCAATAAATTTTCCAGTTTCCTTGTAAACGGAAGCAATTGTCTTTAAACATTCAACTTCTGACGTCCAACCAGCCGAGATTTCAGATTGAATTTTAGAATGCAATTCGGGACCAACTTTAAAGAAGTGGTTGCGTTCCAAATCTTCAAATAATTGTTTCACAATGGTATAATCACCATCTGTTATCAAATATATAAATCGTTCCAAATTCGAACTGACTAGTATATCAATACTCGGAGTAATTGTATGCATAAATTGACGTGTTCTCAAATCGTAGACACCAGTTTTAACAAAGTCGGCAATAACATTATTTACATTGGAAGCAGCTATTAATCTTCTTAATGGTAAACCTAGATGACGAGCATACGCGGCACCTAATATGTTACCAAAATTGCCCGTTGGAATACAAACATCGACTGGTTCACCTAATTTGATGATATTTTGTTCAACTAGTTTTAAATAAGAACTAACTGTGAAAACTACTTGGGGTAAAAACCTAGCCCAATTGATTGAATTAGCAGACGAAAAGTGTAAGTGTGGAACAATCTTGGCAAATTCTTCATTTAATGTTGAATCGTTGAATATGTCTTTCACCATTGTTTGACAGAAATCAAAATCACCATCAACACCGAGCACGCATACAGGGCCGGTTGCCGTTTGCATTTGAGCCTTCTGTACGATTGAAACACCATCTTTTGGACACAGAACTACGTAGAATGATAGAGCAAACAATTCTCTACAAAATGAGATATCCCCGAGCTCTCTACAACATTTTTTGGTCGAACTATATCAAATTTACGAAAACCCAAAATAGGACTTTTTCAAGTCATCCCCCCCTCCCCAATGATCACTGGAGTAACCAAACTACTCTGCACAAATGGGAGTGCGCCTGACCGATCTGCCCATACTATTGCCATATTGGAGACACCAGTACTCTATTCCAGTAGTTGTTTCATCAGTGGCTCTTCTGGAACCGCTGGGGAGGGGGGGGGAAGGGTTAAGAGAGAAACAAGGGCTTCTCTTCAGATAATTTGGTTCTACGTGGAGGGAGCACCAAATTTTTTAATGCCTAATTAAAATCAAACTATTCACCTAACAAGGGAAAACTCTTTACTGTGAAAAATTCTAAATGCCTAAAAAGTTCAGCAATTTTTTGTTTACTTTCATGTTTTATTTATATGTTTTATTCATGTTTTATACGAAAAAGAAACCTAGAGTAATGTCCGGCATTTAAAGTTAAAATAAAATAAAAAGAATTAGACAACAAAAAAAAATAAATAAAATTAGTAATATAACTTATGCAAAACAAAATGGTTCACTGTGATGATCTAGTTAGACTTGCTTGACTCAAAAAAATTGACAATAGCAAAAGAAAACATGCATGTTCGATTCTCTATTGGCACATGTGTCTCGATCACGCAGTGATAAAAAAAACACAAAAACGTCCAGCGTTTTAGGCATAGAAGCAAATAAAAAGTGACTAGCAAGGGATATTCAAACAAAAATATGTTGTATATGACAAGAAAATAAATAAAATATATCTACCAAACAAACACTATTGACAAGAAAATTGGCAAGAAGCATCAGATTCTGTTCAGTTTTCTTGACAAACACATACACGCGTTTCGTTGTGGAAGATAAAATTAATTTGGACTAAACTGTACTATCTTTTTCTCGTTGTAATGTTTCGGCTAAATATAATCTTAATTGCTCTGTTTGCTGATTATCATGAATAGTACTAGTATTGTCGTCATTTACAAGATGTTGCACATCGTTCACAGTTGTAATTAGAGCAAGAGAACGTGCGGAATCATTTGTAGACAAGGGTGACGATAATAGCGAAGGCACTATATATTGCTGTTCAGGCGACGATGTGGGAAGATAAGAAATACTTGAACGAGATGATTGTGTTGGCGATAAAAACGGTATTATAGTTGCTGAAGCACTCGGATACGTGTAATAATAATGCGACTGCTGTTCTTGTACCGATCGCACAGATTTTAAATTAGAACGAATAGTTGTCTGTGATCCAGTTGAAGATGATGTTGGCTCACTGAACAATGAAGCTTCATCATTTTCGTTACCTAATCTCGATAGTTGTGGTGTGGAAGGTTTTGTTACTGCTGTAGATTTATCGGAATCTGTATGTATCTGCTTTTTTATTTGAAAAGTAAGTAGAAAATCTTTCGCATCTTGCTGCTGTCGATGTTGTTGTTGTAATATTGATGAAGTATTATTCTTGTTAATGAGCGATGCATCTGTTTGATCATTTTCATGCTGAGACGATACTGAAGTTTGTTGTACATGGTGTTGCTGTTGTAAATGCAGTTGTTGTATTGAGCTCATCTCTCTTTTCAATGAGCTAATTTTAGATTTTGTTCGAACAAGCTCTTGCTTCATCGCTGCATTTTCTACTTCCAAACGTTTCTTTTCCTAAAAAAGAAAAGAGATAATGATTACGCTTAAAGAGTAGATAGAACTTATGGGATAATAACGTTCCTAAACTTGAATGGCGTAAGTTTTATTTTAAATTCTTGATAAACTTACTTCTTCAGCTTGTCTTAGACGTTCATATATTTCTAATTGTGTTGGTGAATCAGTCGATATTGTTGGTAAAGAATGTAACGAATCAGTCAGATTTAATTTTCTACACACATCTTGACTACTGCCATAATTCATCGTTTTATTTGCACTAAATGTGTTTTTAGTAATGATTTCATTCTCATCATGCGACGACGCCAATAATACATCTTGACACAATATTCTTGATACTTTTCGTTTCATTCTATCTCCATTGTCATCACCTTCCTTTTCGTCCTCTCCGATCTCACCCGCTAGTTCTTCTTCTTCTTCATCTTGCTCATTTTTGATTGATCCTGATGTTGTTGTCATTGTGCTTATTGTGATGCAATCTGATGTTGTGGTCGATGTTGATACAGTAGCTGATGCCAATGGTATTTTTTGCTGTTGTTGTTTAAAGGGAAATTGCGAATCACTCCATTTATCAAAACTATCAGAACATATCAAAGGTCCACGTGGAATTAATTGTTGAGATGCTGATATTGGTGGCTGTGGTAGTAATGGAGATGTTGGATGAGTGTAATAATAATAATCTTCGTTACTATCGGACAATAGCTGTTTTCGAAGTTTAAACGACGTTGGTTTTCTTAAATTCCAATAATGGCTAGATGATGCTTTCTCTGCTGGTTGGGGTTGGGGTTCATCGTCGCTACTCGTCGTACAACTCTCAGATGTGCCCGACGATGATGAAAAATTGAGATCATCGGTTTGCGTTGCTTTTTGTTTACATGCTTTACGTATTCGAAATGAATGACGACTTGTACGTGAATCAGAGACTAGAATTAGGCAATAAGATACAATTTCTTTTTAAATTCTTTTTTACAAAAAAACTTTTTTGTTTTAATTTTTTTATTTATATCATCATAACTAACCCGATCCTTGTTTATGAACAGATTGCGTTCGTTTTGAACGACATTCCATTACTACCATGTCTTTACAGTGGCGATGAGCATTAATACCACAATCTAAAATTAAAAACTTTTGATCATCAAGAATGGAAAGATCTTGAATAGTTGCCTACCTTTACATTTCCATCCTTGTTTTATTAAACCCCACAGCTGGAAAGAAGAAGAAAAGACATTGTACTATGGATCTTATTCATTTTTTCTTCCCTTACCAAACCAGTACAATGTGTACAAAATGTTGGCTTGAAATAAGTTGTCTCATGAAAATCATGTTTGAATTCTCCTTTTAAATCATGATATTTTGCTCGCAAAAAATAGCTGCGCATTTCGCCTTTTGAAATCATTCCATCTCTGAAATAAGAAAATCAATCTTTATGTGTAAATTAGTGATTGTAAAACGTTATACAACTTACTGATCAGCATCAAGTACAGTGAAGGTATCGATGAATGGAAAATTTTGTGCAATTTCATCGAATTCTGTGTGTGATATATAACCATCTCGATCATGATCATAATTTGTAAATACTGCTTCGACCATTGCATTAACATGCTTTTGAATTGTTTGAATATCTAGCGGACTAGAAACACCAGCAGCCCAATCAGCAAAGACGGGACATTTTGTTGGTGTTGTTGGCTAAAGAAAGTAGACCCTATATGAGTATATTTTCAATTATAATATACTTACCGATGAGACAGATGATCGTGGTTCCCTAGCTAATGATAATTCATATATTTCATCTTCCGTATAACTTAAATCAAGCGAAAGCTAGCAAGAAAATAAATACAAATAATTCCAAGTCATCTGATTCATTCGACATACCGTTAAAAGATTGATTAAATCATGATTGGGTGCTACGGGTGGACTGATGGTTTGTAAATCTGTCAATGTTTTAAATATTAAACTTAACTGAGCAATTTTACGGAAATTAATTAAATCATTCTCGAGTTTATCAGCTAGAGCAACATGTAATGATATAATGTCTTTTAAATGAACACCACTAAAAAAACACAGCATGTACTCACGAAAGAGTATTTTAGTCTAAAATACTCACATGATCGGTATTTTAAATCCTTCGCATTCACTAAGTGCTTTTCGATATTGTGCATAATTGCAATTTGATGACAGTAATTCCGTCATTTCGCTTAACATCTAGTAAAAATCATACAACGAAGATATAGCTAACAGTATATTGAGCTCATATGTCTCCATTACTTTATGATCTTCTTGTGATAGACATGCCATGGTTTTTGACAGACGTGCCACTGAACTATGACTTATACCTCCAATAACGGCCATAAATGTGTTGAAATTTTGTAATTCTTTCAAATACTATAATAAAAAACGGCATTAGAAACAAAGTTTCTGATTGTTTTCAGTTAGGAGAGAAACATTGGCATCCTTTGCTACTCTAATCAGAAATGCTGATCAAGATACATAGATAGAAACTATATTTAACTCACCTTGGCTACATCCAAAAACTGAAAATAAAAATAGAAAATTCGTAGAAAAGAGGCACATAGTAATGCATACAAAACAGGAGCAAACAGTTGTGGATAGATGTGGAGCTTACTTTATGTATGATTTCAGCCCGTTGTTTCGCAGTTGTTTTAGACAATACCATACACATAATCCATGTTGATAAGCCGTTAAAAAATTGTATTGATCGTTCTAGTTTTGGATTATCTTGTAATGTCGCTTTCATGGCATACATCTTATAATCGGTAAACTATAATAAAAAACAATAATTTATAATAAATAAGTAATAAAAAATTAATTCAAAAAACATACAGCTATTCTCCTTAAAGTTTTCCATTCAAGATAAGTTAATTGGGCTGCTAATGTTTGAGATTCAATATTATTAAAACCAAGTGACACAATTTTACTCGTTTTGGGTTGATTTCGCACTGTCATTTTACGCATCCATTCAAATGATGGTCTAAATACAACGGTAATCTCATATTGATGCCAGTAGGAGATTATATCACTCACATCTGTGAAACATCGACGAGTTTCATACATTCTGAATTTCCCGTTGATTGTATTAATATTTTCATTCTTTCAGCTGTTTCTTTCAAACGCCGATCAAGATCAAAATGAAATGGAAAATTTTTTATCCAATACCTGTAGAAAAATGCACATATAGAACTATAGTGGAAAAAGAAAATACTATTGTAAGATTCTTACCTGTATGCATGACATATTTTTAACTGATAATCTTTATATTGTCGTTTTTCAAATGAGTCCATTGTTTTCTTGCATTCATCGCCGTAATTCTTATATAGATCATAAAACATATTTCCTAATTGTTCTGATTCCATTATCCATTTATGCATCAAGAAAAACACTTTTGGATATTCACTGTCATCTGTCGTTAAACCATTTGAATCTGAAAATAAATAATGTTAACATTCGATCACGCACAATACAGTGGTACATACTAAATGAATCAATTAATATCCTTAATAATCGATTGATTGTAGCTGCTTTAACATAAATTCCAAGAACAACTGGTTTGTCTTCTTCGATATATTCTGGTGGTTTTTCGCTGCTTTCTGATCGATTATCCGATTCATCATCAGCCCAGATTGTATAATTTTGAAGTTCATTTTTTATTTGTTTTTTCCTAATAGGTTCCAGGTCTATTTCAAATGTGACTAAAAGTAGAGAAATGTTAATATTAAATTAAAATATTTTAACATTGATATGAAACAACATTACCTGGACTATTTTCATCCATATCCTGTATATTTGGAATTGCTTGACTCCGTTTTATCATTGTACGCTGAAATGGAGCTGTTGGTGCCACAATGGTATTAGTAGAACTTGAAACGAGAGCTAGTGTATTGTTATTACACATATTACTACAACTGCTACTGTCTTCTGTTATATTCATCGTTGATGTTAGCGATGATATTGATGCTGGTGTTTTCCGCGTGGTGATTTTGGCTAGAAAAGAAATATTCACTCATTATTGTAATCAACATACAATATTCTGCCGGAAAATAATATAGTTTATATATGTCGAATTGATGGTACTTTATTACTCAGAAATGTTATATATACCACTAATCAAGTCTAGCTCGCATGTGATCAAAATCTGACAAGGTTACCTCGATTTTACATACTTAACATTAAAGGATGCATGGCAAGCATATGGCTCCGAGATAGTCATTTTTGGTCTTTTTCAGTTTAGATTCAGTTTAATCAAGAATATTTGATTCTTACATATTAGAAAGAAAGAGTATATTGCTCTTATCCGCATTCTGCCGCTGAGAATTAATGTAATGATGAGGCTTTACTTTAAATAGTCTGCTAATAACCTTAAAAAAACCACAGATGAGCTTCAATTGCACCAGAAGGGAGAGGTACATTTAACATGGTAATATGAGTTTTCGACATAAGAATAATTTGTAAGTGGAAAAAATAAATATGTACACGTTTTTTCCAGATAACAACAAGGCAATAGTATAATGAGTTAATTACACAAACAATACAAATACAGCAGAAGAAACAATTGCTATTACAATTGGAACAGTAGATTGTCTATTGTAAAAAAGTAAGAGTTTCCCATTAATAAAAGTACAACAGTTGCAGCATACTGTTTACAAAAAGTTGAGGAGGAGAGCCGGCAAAACCATATGGAGGGTAACTAATTGCCTCATACTTTATGATGAAATAGAGGCGATTGAGTATCAAGTTTGAAAAAAAGAGCTTTTTCTACGTACAAAATCACATGGAACATTTCGTCCTCTATTAAAAAAGCAGATGGTTTTAGTCAAAATATGTAAGAATAACCTACACGTATCATATCAAAGCAATAGAATAATACTTTTTCTTTATATCTCTTTTACGATAGTTGACGCATAATTTGCGAAAGCAATTCCATTTCCAAAAAATGGGGAAAATCGTCTCTTTGGTAATAGTACACATTCGATCAATTTAATGTCACATTTTTTTTTTGATCATTTCGTTTTTTTATATTTTTGATTGAATGTGTGTATTGTTGATGACGCAAACTGAGGAAATCTATTTCCGTCAGTTCACCAACACGTTTACTCGATGATGGTGGTGCAGCTCTTTTTTTTTCTTTTCTGTGCTGTTTCAACTGAACTCTTGACTTTTTGAGAAAAAAAAGAGATAGTGTTTTGAACGACAGGGGAATGCAAAAGAAAGAAAAATATGACAAACGCGTCATTCTCATCATATTTTTTTTACATTAGAAATTCGAATAGTAATAGTAAAGCGAAACAAAGTGTAGGTTGTGAGTAAGATATACGCAAGAAAAGGTGAAAGAAAAAATCATTTCATTTCTTTAATGGAACAACTGATGTTGGTGAATGTTCTATGAGCTCGCGTTCATACGTCATCAACATCATCGTCATTCTATATCAAATCAACTTTAATATAAATCAATTTGTCTCATGTCAAAAACTCCACTCAGTTAAATTGAATAGAATAGAGGGAGAATACTTTTAATTAATCAGCATACTTTTAGAACGGGGAGTTATACGCCAAGTAGAGAGTTAAATGAAATGAGAATAAAAGAAAAGATCAGAAAAAACTTTTTGAAAAAAGTATTTATACTACAGTATTTGATGGTAGAAAAAAAATCAAAGATCCTTGGCTTTTTAAAATGATGTAAAGTCTGCAAAGATTTGGTCCATGTTGGTAACTATCCTAAAACAGATTTACGATAGTTTATGTGAAACTATTTACGTACTCATCCGAAAAATTGAGGGTATTGAAAGTTTATATGCAAAAATGGTAGTTTTTTTGGAAAACTGACATAAGATTCGCAGTTACTGAAAAAAGGATAAAAAAAGAAGAATTTAGTTTTTAATCTGAATCTCACGGTAGCATTTTTACTTGGGACTAAAACTCGATGCATTAAATATCACATGATCGTTTTGCCTTCTTATTCCAGTGAGAAGCTCAAGTTTTTCGTATCGGCGTCAGAGGTGAAATAACGAAAGGAAAAAGTCAATACGTAACGAAAAGTAGTTGTGCTTTTATGAAACAAAATTAACACACCCTTCAATCTACAACTAAGTCCATTTTATAATTATATATAGTGCGAGTTCTTCCTGACCATTTTGCGCTGTTTTAAATTTTTTCTTTGCAGATTACTGACGAGAGAAGGTATAATTTTCTCTTACGTTGAACTACACTAAAAAATAGTCGTAGATTAATAAACTATCAAAAAGGGTTTATTGAGACCAATAAACCTTTTAAAAAACGCTTTTCCGTTTTTTATATCCAAAAAACTAAAAAGCGTTCGTGACAGATGCAAAATAAAAAACGGGCGTTTTTTTATCAAAAATAAAAAATCCTTTTCAGTTTTTTGTCGAGCCTAAAAAACTAGCTAAAAAACTGAAGAGTTTTTTAGCTGATATTTTAGACTCGACAAAAACTGAAAAGGGTTTTTTATTTGCATCTGTCACGAACGCTTTTTAGTTTTTTGGATATAAAACACGGAAAAGCGTTTTTTAAAAGGTTTATTGGTCTCAATAAACCCTTTTTAATAGTTTATTAATCTACGACTATTTTTTACAGTGTGGCTAAGCGCGCGAAACACGAATATTTTGCTTATCTTCGATTTCTGCTTTAAGCTTTTTTGCTAACTTTTAACAATTTTTATTAGATTTGTATTGGTATTTTATAAGATTTTCAGAAAATAGAGGCAAATTTGATTCCAGTACGAAAACCTCTACTGAAGGTAATTTTATAAGAATATTAAAAACTAAGCTATTGCTGACAAATTTGTGAGATGTGATGCAATGATTATTGAAACCAAGTCTGAGGATATCTGTGACAAGTTTCATTTGTGGTTCCCATTGGGTGCTGTTCTAATTTTCACATAATCATACGACTATTGTAGGTTCTACTAAAAAGTCTTCATCTAACCAAGGTATAATAGTTCTCTAGTCTAATATTTCTGTGTGAAGGATTTTCTACAAAGTAAACATATGATATTATTGACAAATGATCAAATAGTAGGTCATACTCGACTTTGTTTGGATAACGTGTAGTATCTAATTACAGACCTTCTAAATTTTTTTATAATAAACACTGATTTTTTTTTGTTGAGATAAAAGTTGAATCTAGCCTTCGAGGAACCATTTTATGAATGGTTATATATAGTTTTTTTAGCTTTTATTCACCTTTAACAGAAAATATTAATTTGTTTTTGATGCTTATATACAGGACATGATGATGGTTTTCGGCTCTTATTTGTCGATTGATCGCTCAATCTGAACACACATTTTTTTCTACACCTCCTCCATCAAACCAGAAACGGTTTTAGGTCAGCAACTGACATTATGATACACTTTTCTTTTTCACTATTGCGGATGGTAATATTTGGGCATTTAAAGAAAACACTTTAAATTAATGTGACAGCACGAAAGAGAATGAAATTTTTTATACTAAACTTAATTTAACATAAAATTTTAAACAACTATGTATAGTGACGCAATAAGTCTTTGACAAGAAAAAACCCGTTACACAATGATCGCGTTTTATTAGTTTTATTAGGAAAAAGTTGTAGAAAAACAAAAACTAACATACTCGATTATATTTCTTATATTTTAACCTTCGTCCGGTTGGTAGTTTTCATCCATATAAAAAGAAATGGATCTATTTTCCATTCAAACCAATAATACATTGTTTGTTATCGTTCAATATCAAAAATATAATTGCTAATTAATAAAATACATATAACTATTTCGTTAAATATACATTGTTAAATTCATTATTATTAAATATGCATAAAAAATGCATATTTTTTTAAAAACATTGTCTATTATAAAAACAGCATTGTTGTTCAAAATTCTGATAATGAAAAAATAAATATATCTAAAACACAAAAACAATGGTATCTATTAGCAGACTAAAGCAGAGTTTATCATCAATATTATATAGTGCAAATGCTCAGTTTGTCATAAAATAAACTGACATTACATAGCACCTATCAATTTTCTTCTAGTCGAGTTTTTTTTGTGATCATATTTTTGCGTCAAGTTCTATTTTTGTCTGACAACTACCGAGGATGAGAATATTAAATGTGTTATGAGATTAGAGGGAGTAGACTAATTATCAGTCAGTTGTTTCAAGGCTAGGTTTTCTGTTGATAAATACTTTTTTAATCATAAGCTCTTAATTTATATAAACTTGAAAATTCTGTGAACATATTTTATGATTTATCTACTTACTCTAATACTTTTCGTTTTACATCTTTTGAGACAAGATATAGAAGAAAACAACAACTCTCTAAAGACACATATATATTAGATCTAATTTTGTGAACTTGAGATAGACAGAGTAGAACAAGCACACCGCACACCGTTCATACAATAAGTTAGAAAACTTTCTTTTAGCGTAATGATGACTGACTTTGATGCGAAAGAAAGAGAGAAAGAGAGAGAGCGCGAAAAAAAGTTAACATCTGATAACAAAGTCTTAAACTGCAAATAAGGCATCAGTCGCGTCAATTGCATGTATGTCTGTGTGTGTGTGTGCATGTGTGTATTATATAGAGCAAGACGAAGGAAATTGCAAAATATTATATCTATTCACTGCCCTATACACATCATACATATTATATCTAAAGTGTTTTTTAAGAAGAAAAATATAGAGGGATTTTTTAGAAAATACTATTTCTCTTCTCTTCTCGGTTTTTTCGTTCTTCTTCTATTTTCCCATCATTATCGTTATCCATGTCGTCACCTCGTCCTTTCATCAACAGACATTTTTCTTTAACATACAAAGTTTTTCAGAAATACACACACACACACTGTCAACAGCTTTTTAAGAAGAAAAATTTTTCTAGTCAAAGAGAAAGTTTTTTTTGATGGTCTAAAAAATTTTTTTTCTTAACCAACAGGAAGAAGTTGTTGAGAATACTACTTTTTTTATAATAGTAATGCAAAGAAACACACTATGCTTTGACACGTGTACTCATGGAAAAGAACAGGATTTAGCTTCAGAAATACTATCCTCTCTATAGTACTTAACATTATCAATTTGGAATTAGAAATTATAGACATCAATGAACGAATATTGTACTTAAAATATTGAAAAACCCAATTTTGTTTTAGACTTTATTATATCAAAACATCCTTCACTCAAATAACATTCATCTGTAGAGTTTTAGAATAAAAGTTTCAAAAAATTTCAGAGCTTTTAATAATTAGAAGAAAACTATCGGTTACGTCTAATTGAAATGAAATAACTGTTGACCTTGATTATCCATCCTAAGATTGGTCCTATTTAACAAAAAAATATATTTGATTTTGTTATGAGTATGGGCTGTCCCAACACGAATTTGTTACGTCTGATCATAAGATCGACGTTTGAAGGCGTTTAAACGTTTCAATAGAAGAATAAAATGCCATCGAGTGGAGATTAATTCATCGTACTAGCATTGATTGTAAATACGTCTCATTTTTAACTTTATCATAGTATCAAAACAACAGAAGGTTAGGACAGCTTTACATTTTACTTTATTCATAACGGAGAGAGCAAGAAGCGCATTATGAAAAGGAAAAAGGACTATGAATATAGCTGTATGAAATGCTTCTCTTCGGTTCCTTTTAATTTATAATTTAGGATAAATATCAATCACGAGAAATATGCAAGAAAGATGTCTTCATAGATGGTTATTAACGAATCTCTCAACTTTAAGTCCAAATGCCTTGTGAAGAGAGAAAAAGTTCAAAAGTGTCGTCAGAGATCTGCATATACAGCACAATAGCAACAAAGATATAAGCGATATTTTTTATTTTTGTGTGTTTCTTATGTCACCGTGAGAGACACTTAAGAATTTGCTTAACATGACTGTCGTTCATATTTCTTACGCTGGTTAGAAACACTGCTTTTTCAAATAAAACAGCTATATTAAACACTACATGTTGTACTACTCGATACATTTTTGTTTGCCATGAGCGTATGCGAAAAAAATTTCTTTTTCTTTTTCCTCATTCTACAGTAGTTGACAATCAGTTCAGTTTGGATTCCAGACTTTTAGAAACACCATAACTAACTGTAAACTTGATTAGAAAACAATAACAATCTGAATCAGCTATTCAAACTGTGCTAAATGTTGTCCAGTCTAGTTGTTCTAGATATTTTTTTGTGTCTCTCTCCATTTTTAGCTGTATTTCTTCGTATATGTGTGTGTGTGTGTATATGCATATGCCACAAAAAATATTAAAAATACATTCAGGAAGGATTGAGTAACTCAATGCCATATACCCATGTCATCAAAATCGCCTAAGTTTGGATGATTAATTGCCATTTCGACAAAAAGTCATCAGTTAATCACGATTAATATTTTGAATATTGGCGATTAATTGCGGTGAATTGGCAAAATAGTAAAATTAAGTACCAGACAATTATTTGGAATAAAAGACTTACATTTCTCGCTTTTTGGCTTAGGGATGGGGAAAATACCACTTTTCGACCATTTCTGACCTGAGAATCGGTTCAGTCGCAATATACATAGTGTACTCCAGCATAGAGGTTTCGGACTTAATTTTTTATTAGCCGATAGTTTCGACCAACAGACAAAAATAATTGTTTGTTCTGTTTACTTTTTAATTTTTTAATTTTGGTCTTTTTTTTATATTATGGTTGTCTGTCTGACTTATTTCAGAGAACAAACTTTTCCTTTTCAGGAAAGAAAAAACACAAACAAGTAAATCGCCTGTAAGCCAACTGGTAACTTCTTCTCTTCACTCGTTGGTAAATTATTTTTGCTCTATGTAGATCTTTTTCTTTGAAATAATAATCACCATAAAGTGACCAAAATTCACTTGATGTGAACAGAAAGTAACAATAAGTGAGAAAAAAGAACCGAAGGTAAGGTTCGAACCAGTCCATCGTTAGTGACTAGAGGAAAAAATCGTGATTTTCTACAAGAATCGCCAGTTTAAGAGATTTTATTGTGATATAATCGCACAATTTATCGGCTTGATAAATCGTGGAAAATCGAAATTTTCGGACAGTTTAATCACATAGATAGCACTTCATAGTACGGTATTATCCTAATGGACAAAGGAACAGAAAAACTTCTCTTGTTGTTCTGTTATGATACACCTAAAATATTTTCCCAACTTTTATGAAAGACTCACTCAATCGAACTATCATCCATCACAATGTTAAAAAAATGCGGCGTCTACATATCCGTTCTCCAATATGGCATTGATGACAGGCCCGTAGCCAGGGGGTGTCCGTTGTGCCGGGACACACCCCATAAGTAAAAATTGTTATTTAACTGCTAGGAATCAGAATCGGTACAACCAAAAACAAAATGCAAGAAAACCGGTATATCGATACACATCTATTTTTTTTATTTTTTATTTATTATTTTTAAGATTTTGAGTATAACGAAACAATTCTACATTGAATGCCATTTTGGAGTCTAGTTGGGCATGCTTACTCACAATATAGCGGTACTGGAAAGGCGAGAGTCCACTATAGCAGTGTGAAAATAAAATTTAAATTACTGAGTGATAATGCGTTCATGACCGTTGGTTCTGTTCACCATTCGAATATTCGTTATTTCTACAATCGAAAAACTGTAATCAAAGATTTTTTTGAGTTTTTTTGAAATTATAAACTTACAATGGGTGTACTATCAGAGTAGTAGTAAACAGTAAAATATTTTTCTATTCGTAAGCAGCGGATCGAATTATACCAAGTGAAGTATAACACAACATTTTGCAACATAACAGGAAAATTTCTGCAGTCAGACAAGTGAGCGAAAAAATTTGTTTAAAAACATCTTTTTTTTATCCAAACAGATAATTTGAGCAATTGAAAGCCAGATTTGACGAAAAAATCGTGCCTGAAGGAAGAAATATCAAATATGGTTTCAACCCCCTTTTTCTGCCCACCGATATTTTTTGTATTGGGCTTTGAACGAAGTATAGCACACAACTGGTACCGACTTCATATCGGTATAATTCTTTTTATATGATATACACTATTCCTTCCTTATTTCCAAAGTGCTAAAAGTGGCAAAGAATAGCAAAAAAATACATGATAGTTTGTTTTGTATTTAGTTTATCTTCTCGAAATCTGGTTTATGCTTATTATTGGTCAATATTGAAGAACAGTAATATTTATAATCGACTGGTGATTTCTTATCCGGGTTAGCTATGACAAAATGTTCAGCTGTTACTTTCAAAATAAACCTTTGATAATACATTAGAGTCACTTAAATAGACTTCTGCAGTACTTGTAACTGTATCTATCGATGTATCAGCTCCATGGAACCAGTCCAGGCAAAAAATTGAACAATTATGGTACAGTTGCAAAGGTTTGAAGCATGTTATTAAAATCAGGATTACACGCACCATCTCTTTTCTTTCCAATTCCTTGTTTAGTTACTGTGTCAATATCTTATTTCCATATATCATAAATTTTAAATTTCTTGTAGGTCAGATACAGATACCGCAAGAGAGTGTTATGCAGTACAATTTCAGGTACCGGTATAAAAAATACTTGTACCGTAGTAGTCTTGTCTGAAACCACAAATCTGTTAGAAAAACTAATATATAATGTGAAAGTTAGCTAAGTGGCCCATATTTTCAAAATTTTCATCCTTTCTATTGTTTAAAACGAAAAAAGTGCACGAAGAAGGTACACCTTTCATATCAAATAACATACCATATTAATTAAATTCTGTAACTCAAACTTATAATTCTATTTTGTAAAAGATATCCTCTCTTTAAGCTTCTCAGCAAAAAATGAAGTATAGTTGATGATCATGATCTCTTTTTACAAATAAAAAACATTTCAAATTTCTTAATCCAAAAATTTGTAGTTTAGAATTCGTTCAGTGTGCGTCATCTGTCCATGAATATGTACCATAAGACACATTGATATGTATGTGTGTAGCGTAGCGCTTCTGTCAAAACAGTGGATGGTTGGAGTAAAATAAATCCAATCATAAATTTGATCAAATCCTCTTGTTTGGTTTTTGAATGAAATGACTTTAAGTTTAATAAAATATATATCATATTTCTCCAATTCATTTAATCATAAAGATATATTATAAACTAAATTCTGCCTATTTTTGACACTACTAATTATGCTCTAGTCAGATCTACTTTCTACTACGTAAACGCATTTTTTTTCTTATGTTACTTATATATTTCTTTTTCATCTCTCGTTCTATTACAGACACTGTTTTATATTATTTTATTCTACAACCTTCACTACATCATCACGCCAGTTTGTTTGAAGACTACCCGTCATTACATTATTTTTGCATAAAGAAAGAAATCAACGCCAGTTATTTTACGTCAGTTTGAACGCGCAAAAAAACGTTCAAATTTTCTTATTAAATTTTTTACTTTGTTTTATTGGTATAATACTTTTATTATTATTACTAAAACAAGAATAGGAAATTAATAGAGTGGCTTTATATAAAGAACATACGTTTATTGGTAAGAAATTGCTCTGTAATTAATTTCTGGTATAGAACAATTGATATCGTGAGGATCGCCTTATTTATCGCCTTTGTAAAAATTTCTGCTTATTGAACAAATTTTTTCCTTAATATTGTTTATTTTTTTGTTTAGATCCGATGATATTCAGTTTATGTTTCCTTTTTGGGGCCCACCGAAATGAAATGCAAAGTGTTATTTGAATTATTGTCAAGAAGTAAGTTGTTTTTCTTAGTTTTGAAGCTTTTATATATTCAAATCGTTGGGTTGTAGGCTCTTTTGATTGTACAATCAAAACAAGCTATTGGTACAATTATTATTGGCTCTATGGAACCGATCATAAACATTTCGAATTCAGCTAATTATCCATCACAGTCATTTACGTCCTCAACGCCCAACGAAACAAATGATGAAGATGAAGACGAACATTATAAACAACAACATCTCTCAAAACCAAATATTCTTACACCATCAACTGATAAATCTATCTCATCTTTATCAATTGATTATTGTAACAACGAGCGAACACAGTTTGGCGTTGAGGACACACTTCAATCTCATGAATCAACCAGTATCGATAATATTTATTCGAATAATAATCAAATTAATTTTTATAATATTAAAGATCAAAATCACCTAATATCGATTGAATCATTAAATCAACCTCAAGGACCACGAAATGCAGATGATTCAGACGATACACAGTCAACATACGATTCGTACACACCTCTAACAGCGCAGATAAATAAAGAAAAATTACTAATTCACCAATTACCTCAGTTACGTTCCTATGTTAATATAAGTAACTCAAGTAGCGAGACATCTTTAGCCAGACCATTATTAGGACAAGATCAGCAGCACATATTGTATTGTACACCACCATCAATTGGATCAATTAATAATGAAGGAGTCGATAACATAAACAACAACAATAACAAAGATGATACGGCAACAACTAGTACAAATTCGCTAACTCCATCCTTTCGGTCATATATTGGATTATATCTAACTGATATGTTAATAGCTGCATTTATCATAACACCATTAGTGAATATACATTGGCGTGGTGGTTGGGATTTAATCGATATTCATTTGTTACCACGGAAACCCATTTTGAGTAATTTATTATCAATTTTTATTGGTTGCTTCTTACTATACATATTTTATTTATTACAAGACCAATTACAAAAATTTTATGAATTACATCGTCAAAATATTATTGGACAATTTATGGGTAGAATCTATACACTGATAGTTGCGTTTGCATATATTAATCAATGGCGAGGATTATGGGGTCTACTGGATATGACAACAGGTGTATGGTATTATCTAGTGATCGAAACATTAGTTAGCATTTTACTGTTATTATTAATGAAATCAGTTTATAATCTCAACTCGGCACCATTTTTAATTAGTGTCGATACCGAAAGTTATTTTTTGATTGGAAGTCGATATACATACTTCGTAAGTGAATTTTTTCTCTCACTTATTAGTCAGATTCCTCAAAAGTTCTCCTAAGGTTACTGTGCCAACTTAACTAATTTGTCCATATTCTTTTCGTTGTTGAAAAGATCAAAGTGGGCTCATAGAGATATTTTTTACCTTATTTAGACACGAAAGTTTAATCAATATACGTTCGATTTTATTTTGTATGAATTTGTCGAAGCCCCGTTATTAATTATCGGTAATAAAAATTCTTGATATTGTTTCACCATTAATTTAAATATTTTCTTTTTTGCCTTTAGCATGGCGTGGACTATACAATTTGTCTGATCTGTTCATATTTCCTAAATCAAATTTTATATCGATGTCAACATCATTTTTAAGCGGTTATGCATTATTTTTTATTTTGGCACTCATTCAGATACCAATTGTCAAATGTTTAAGAACGAACTTAAACTTAAGAATGAAATGTTTACATTCATTTACATCAAATGTATTTCATTTATTAGCGTTTGTTAGTGTTGTACAAATTTGGCGCAGTCTATGGATGGTATGCGAACAATATTTAAATATTCCTGGTTATCATCACTTAACATTGTGGATATGTTATGCTGGAGCATTTGTTGTACTAACATTTGGTTTAAGTAGTTCATCGTTAAACGGACCGGGTGGTACAAAAGATAATTATATTGATAATGGTCCAATATTATTGTTTAAATTTGATTATTTCACTACACTGCTAAGAGTAAGTTGTTTTGTCATTTTATATTTTAGAGATTAAAGATTAAAAATAGAATTGAATAGCTAAAAACTTTAAAAAGAAGAAGAAAACTTATTAAAATAATCCATTAAATGGTTTAAACCAAATTTTCTTTCACTTTATTGTTTTCAGAGACATTCAACAGGTCGAGATTATACGGATAGTACTGGCCTAATCGAATGGATAATTAAACATATAATCAGGCGTCGCAGAACTAGTAGAGTTATATTAGAACAATATGATCAAAGGCTTACTTCTTCTTGATCACGTTTAAATGTGTACGTGTATATTTTAAAAATGAATAATGATCTTGTTACATGGCAAAAGATTGTTTTTTCATCATTTATCAATTGCTGCATGTATAGACGCACAATGTGCTTTTGCAGTATACATTGTTAATAGCGAAATTTTGATACGAAATATTTCTCTATGTACTTTACTTGACGTATGTTAAAAGAAAGTTTTGTTTTTTTTATTTCTATTATTGGGTTAATTAAGCACACTTATTCTTAACTAATTTTTTTTAAATCTAACAGTGCTTTATTTGTCTTTTTCAAATGCACATCAATGCTTTTTCTTTTTGTAAAGGGATATTAGTTAATCATCAAGCACCAATAGCAGTTGATTAGCTCAGAGTGTTTGATTGCTATTAGAAAGAATTATTAGCTTTTTCATTTGTTTTGCTTTAATCTTCTTCTGTAATTTTTGAGATGATCAAACTAACTGAAATATAATATGTTAACACTGTACTTTGGTTCTAATTTTTTTACTTTTACTTCTAGCGTCGTTCATCAAATTGTAAATCCGATCATAGTTCCGAATCATCATCATCGTTAACAGAGACAATTATTACAAGTGAACGACCGTATCGTTTTGAACCTCCCTAATATATCCTCAAAAATATTATTAATTAAAAATCAAAATAAAATAATTTTCATGTATTCGAATAAACATTATCGTTATTGGTATTGGAAAAAGATAAAAAAATTTGTTATTATTCATTTTAAAAGGTTGTTATTTAATTTAATATTGATCATTTTGTAATTTAATTGGTTCCTTTTGTTGTTATCAACAAAACTAAATTCTATTGAATCTATGAAAAACTATTAGAGTTGTTGTTGTTTGCAAAGAGCCCAGTGATTCTTTTTTTTTAAACTAGTATCTTTTGAGGTAGGATAAGAATCTCCTCCACTATGTTTTTTATTTTTTTTTGCTGTTGTTTGAATATTTATATATTTTTCGGTGTCTTTTTATTTTTCCCATTGTACATTTATTAATAGAATTTTTGTTCTTGTTTCTTGCCCGGTTAATAGAACAAATTTTTTCGAATATTGTGTTTTATGTTTTTTTCTTTTTCTTTGTACGTAATGTCTTGTGTAGATATATTATATATATATATATATAAATACAAATCCACGTTAAATTTTACGTAAATTTTGCATGTTCGTTTTTTTTTTTTTTATACAAAATGAAATAAAACAAAAACATCAAACAAAAGATGTCTATGCAATTCGAATAATGTCACACAACCGTTTAAGTCATAACGGTATTAATATTTCAGTCTTTTGTAGAAAAAAATTATTGTATAACAACGTCAAATACAAATGAACAAGTGTATAATGTATACTGTCTTAGAGATCGTCAAAGTTTCAGAAGAGACTGGATTAAATTTCACGTCTTTGTGTATGACAATGACAATATATTTTAAAGTGTACAATATTCTTTTAATTTAGTCGATTGTTGACATTAGAGTATAGAACAATTCTATACAATACAAAAGAATTGCGTCTTACGCTATTGTAATGTGAAAAAAAATACTTAAATTATATCACGCACAAAAACAAATTTATTGAGATGTATCGTTAAAATTCACCTGTATTTTGTTTTTGTGCTCAGCGATATGAAAAACAACTACATTAATATTCCTTAACAACAAAAGCTTCTCAGCATTTTTAAAACGGAATAGAATGTAAATGACATGATGGCTATTAACAAATATAATGAGATACGATTATTCTCACGTACTTGACTATTGAATTGAGTACCTTCTTTTGCGATGCATACTTAATAAATAAAAACTTCGTGAATCTTCAAAAAGCACGGTTGACATGAAGTACAGAGAAAAAAAAGTTTCAGCATCGAATTTATAGGTTCAGCACACTGATCAAAGTGCTGTCTCAGTCATTTATACGGATAGAAATAATGTAAATTTCGTCCTATCGTTACATAAAGTGTAACACAAACTCAAACAAAACGTTTCAAATTCAAGGTCTTATATTTTGAGTCTGGATATAATATGTGAGAATTATGTAAATCGGATGATTTATCATTGAAAATCCGTTTTGCTTTTGACAGAAGTCTTTTGTATTCAAACTTATCTTTCTCGTCATATTTTATGGCTATCAAATAGTATTTTCCACATGTGTGTGTGTCTAGTGAAGCGGATCTATGACAAATAATTTATTAAGGTTATAATAAACATGTGTGATACGAAAAGAATGAATATTTTGTCTGGTTCAAAACAATAACGATGTAAAATCATGAAATATGATTTATCAATACTATTTTTCTGTTTTTGAACATGTATTTAATGGATATACTTGATCAACCGTACTATTGGGGACGAATAACACGTGCTGAAGCAGAACATATTCTTGAAAAAGAAACAGCTACAGAAGATGGTACATATCTAGTCAGAGAAAGAATTGATGAAGCTGGTGTTTATGCAATTACGCTATGTTGTTTTAGACGGTAATATAAAGTGAAATACGTCGATTAGACGTACTGTACTAACTCTAATATTAATTTATCGTTCTCTAATGAAATATTCATGAGAAAAGCTTTAGTCAATCAAAAAACATAGACTTCTGCATTCTCTTGTCTTTTTGTTTCAAAGTTTCTACAATTATCGTATTGATCGATTGCCCAATGACAAAGTTGTTGTTGGTGGGTCAATAATTCAGCAATCGTCAAATCACAATACAAATAAATTGCAACAATTTCCTGGACTCATTGAACTTATTGATTACCACAGCAGAGTAGCTGATCCGTTAGTTACCACCTTATCGAAACCATATTACAGACCACCTGTAAGTTATAGTGAATGACAGTCACTTTTTTATGTAATGGGAATTTTTTGATAGACTTTGAACCATCCTCCAAGAAATACTCTTTACATGCATTATTTTGTAGACATATAATCCGGTTGAATATTGGTGTTTAAAGTCGTTCGATCATTCTATTTTTATGAGAAAAGTTCAAGTTGAAGTCGATGCAGATAAATCAGTAAACATAACATCATAAAGATCTTTTTTGTCTTTTAGCAAGTATATTCTTATTATTTGTTATATTTGCAGTATACACATGCTGAAAAAATGACAACAAAGCGTTACATATATGAAAGACGTGTATTAAAACGTATGCACGAGGATGAACCATGGTTTCATGCGAGAATTAATCGACAAGAAGCTGAATATCGATTAAAACGTGCTGGAGCAAAAAACGGTCTTTTTCTGTTGAGTTTAAAAAATAATTCGATAATATTTTCTATAAAGATTATTCATTTTTAATAGTGTTCGTGCAAGAGCAGAAAATGCTTCGAAAGATGCTTTTACACTAAGCTTGTGTTATAAATTAGACGTTACACATTACATGATTCGTGAAGCGCCTGATGGAAAATTAGATATACCAGCAATTCATGTAATTGCATCATCATTAACAGATAAGGGAGAATTTGGAAGTCTCGTTCAAGTAGGTTATTCTATGAACTCAGTCTACAAACATGCTTCGATAGATATTAATTTTTCTTACTTTTAGTTAGTTGATTATTATCATCGATTTGAGCAAGGTCTTCTGTGTAATTTAAGACATTTTTGCTCAAGGTTAGGCGGTACGAATAACATTAAGAGATCATTAAGACGTTTGTTTTAATATTGGTATTTGTATTTTGTATTTTAAGGTTCAGTTCTTATTTCTCATAACTTTTTGATACATAGTGAGCTTTACGGTATGTGATTTTGTATAATTCTTTGAATCAAATGTCTAAGTATCGTTCTTCTTTCTCGAAGATAGTACGGATACAGATGAATCTCCCGAACCAGCAGTACCATCGCCAACACTCACAATACCTAGTCCTAATAATATTACGTCAGCATTTAAATTTGATTTAAGTGGATTTATGATTGATCCAAATAGTCTTCTTATAGGAAATAAATTGGGTATAAAACAAACAATAGTGTATATTATCTGTATCGAATTATTCATCAATATACATTTTAGGAGGAGGACAATTTGGTGAAGTATTTGAAGCTATAGTAAAAGTTACAAATCAAAGAGTTGCCGTTAAGTCTTTAAAAAATCCATCGGAACAAATTCACGAATTGTTTACCGAAGGAAAACTATTGATAGATTTAGAACATCGATATATAGTAAGAATATTTGGTATGTACAGTTAAATAAAAAGAATATTATTTTATTTCAAAATTAATTAATAATAATAATCTTTTCATTTTCAAGGTATATATATGATGCATCCAAATGCACTATCACTTGTACTAGAATTATGTCCATTTGGAGCAATGAACGATTATTTACGTAAAAATAAGTGAGTAAATAGTTAGATTGTAACATGAAGATAATGTATTTATTTTATAATTATATTTTTTAATTTATTTTCTAGAGCATTGAAAATGAGCTATATTTTAAATTACATGTATCAAGTTAGCGAAGGCATGAGTTATTTACACGAGAAAAATATTATACACAGAGGTCGAGGATAAGTGTAAGATAAGGATATTTCATATTTTAAACATTTTTATTCTATAGATTTAGCGTTAAGAAATGTATTAATAGCGTCTGATTCTCTGTGTAAAATATCCGATTTTGGTCTATCCAAAAGAGTTGAAGGTCATAATTACTATCAGGTAAATAAAGAAATGTGTTTGGCAATAAAAATACAATTAGCCCTTTTTTTATTTTACGAGATGATAAATCATCGTCAACTACCGTTTAAGTGGTATCCGCCAGAAGTATTGAAAAATCCAAAATTTCATTCGGAGATCGACATTTGGTCATACGGCGTTACGTTATGGGAAGCAACATCGTACGGAGCTACACCTTATAAAGAAGTGAGAGTTTGTTTACTTAATTTTGTGGTTATGTTTTCTCACTATATACATGATACAAATTTAGGAACTAAAATCATTCGACGATCATGCAATCGAGCCCGTTTTACAAAAAGTGTTGAAATTTCTTCTATCAGGAAGACGTCTTCCACAACCGGCAGCATGTCCTAATAATGTTTACAGACTAATGTTAAAATGTTGGGAATTGGAGTAAGACCTCGGCTTCTAATTCGTAATTGGTACTATAAAATTGGAATTGTCATTCTAGTAAACAAGCACGTCCAACATTTTCAAAGATTATGAAATATTTACGGCATTATTCATTTGATTTTAATCAAACAAGTCAAAACTCGACTACAACGCCCCTACCAAATCACAATGCCGTTACAAAATCAGTGCAATATTAGTGTTGACATTTCTTGATGGATGTAGTTTTACTCTGTATACTAAAAATTCTATTGTGAACTATATTCCGAGTGACTTTTGTTTTAGACGTGTTTTTATATGCACGAATAAAGAAGAAATCTTTTTGAAAGCCAAATAAACATTATATGAATTCGTTAACGCCAAATGTAAAATCGTCCAAATGTCAAAAAGCGTGGTTCCACTGCACTGAATATTTTGTAAAATTCACTTACCCTCATTTATTGTTAAGCTGCTGCTAATGTCATTAATATTACAAGTTTTTGTACACAAACGTGAAAATAACTAGCTGACTATAAAAAGTAGAAGATAAAAAGGAAAAGCGCTATTAGTACATCGCGTAGTAGTGCTCAGTTTTCCTGTTCTCAAATATAGAAGAATTATTATTATATTTATGAAAAGATTTAAATATGTAGGAATTGAAATTATCATGAAATTAGGATGGGGAATATATATATCATTAACAATAATAATAATTAGAAACATATACGATGCACTATGAATTATCTTTCACCAAATACCTATCTATTTTTTATTTCTTCGTCGTATTCTCTTTTTCACGTATGTATTGCCTTACTTCATATGGTTATTTTTACTGTAGTTCTTTTCACGGAGATTCATTCAATAAAGACATATTGAACATGTCTATTGTCCTGAATTAGGAATAATTTATAATTTATATAACTGGGACGATGAAACAGTTTATATACTATGTCATCAATTAACTATGCGCGATTATTTATTTCATTATTAGAATAAATTTATAAAACATCTAGAGATATCACCAGAAGCTGCACAATATCAGTTAACATTCGCATCACATTTAGCTGCCAAACCATCTAGTAGTACTAGATGAAATGTCTTTGTAAAACGACTTTGAAAGTGTTGAGCCAAAGAATTTTGAAGATAATCGAGCTCAAAGTTTGGAATTTTCCAAAATCTTCAGAACATTCTAGAACTTATAAATCAAAAACTAAGTAAGCTGCAAATCTCCTTCTTCCGACATTAAAAAAAGCATAAGTCAGGCTTCATTTTTACTATAAATAAATCCATAATTTCTTGATTGCTTGGTAAGCGATTTAAAAAAATGATGGTTTTTTGTTGATTCTGCTAGGGTTTCAGAACACTCGACTAGCTTTAGAGTTGAAACGATTAAAATCGTAATCTATATACAGCTTTCCGAGCTCTAACGAATGGTTTCTAAGAAAAATTTCAAAATACTTTACTAAAATGAGAATGAACCCTTCTCGGGTCCCGCGATATGAAAAAAACATTTATGAGACCTAATCCATCTAGATTCTGCATAATTTTTTTTAAAAGAAATATAGATTTATATATAACTCGACAAGCTCTACAAAATGCGCATAGTGAGAAGGTGCCAGTTATAATTTCTGTAAAACTGAGCGCATTTGCGTGGAAGCACCTCGTAGTAATACAAGCGAATTATCAACAGTTCAGTTCAGTTTATTCTGGGATAGTCATGAACACATGAGAGAACATTGCTAGTGCAAAAGTTTGAAACAAAAAAAACTGCGTTTGATTAAGAATCTAGGTAGCTAACTTTGTCGACATGTCCATAGAGACAGCATCAGCAAATGTTATTAAAGCACACGAAGAACTTAACAATTGTATTGGTAAATTAACCGCCGTCAATGTGACTAATTCAAGGTGTATATATAAATATTTTGCGATTGAGTCAAAACATGTAGATTTTGTTGATCATTAGTCTCAGTTTTGTTCAACTTCTGCTGTAGGCTTATTGAAGTTAATTTTTCGACGTTTAAATACCTCATTTTAGGCACATAAGATTATTGAACCAATTGGTGAACTTGATTATTTTAGTAGAACAGGAAGACGTTTACGAACATGTTATTTGATTCAACAATACTCAACTAATAAAAGATGCAGAAAACGTAAATTAGGAGTCTAACTGGTCAACTGACTAAAGAATTGGAGAATAGAGATATAGACAGGCACCATTTTCCGACCCGTACCCGATCCGAAAACTTTTTTTCCATCCATACTCGACCCGTATCTCTAACTGCTCTACCCGTACCCATCAACTTTGTGCTTGTACTCGACTTACGTTTAAAAATTTTCTCCTTTTCGGTTTCCAGCTAAACGCTTTTGTTCTTCGGCTGGAGGTGTCAGATTATTATTACGTTCTCAAGTAACTCGTTTGAAATTTCATGCATTTTAACTAACGAGGGAACTATCCCAAGTATTAATCACAGATGCTAACGAGAGGTACCCCAATCGATAGAGCTCGACGAGCTGATTCTAGTGGCATAAAGCATTTTTCCCAATGTTTCTTGAAGACCCAGTTTTCTAGAAAACCAGTTTTTCAGAAACTTTAAAAAATAACCAGAACATTTTTAAATACAGTGGGCATATAGGCGGAAGTTTGGCTCAACATCGTAAGTACGCTTTTTTGACATTTGAATACCGTCATATATATTTTGGTTAACGACCGATTTCATGATGAAAAAAATTTTTGTTTTAAGAGATTTCCTTGTTCAGAAAATTGGTAAAGAAAATCCACGTACTAATGAAAATGTTGATTGCGTATTTCGAACAAAGTGATCGAAACACTTCGTTTTGATATTTTCTGGAGCAGAAAAATGCCAGCTGTCTGACGCTGAAAAAAGTTTTGCTTTATCTTAAAAAGTATGGATAAAAAACCTGTAGTTTTTCCCAGAAAATTCCTTTTTCTCGCTACGTTACCGGTGCAATCGACTTCCTAAATTTTTCTAAACTCTGATAACGTTCAAATTTACATGAAACGTTCACCTCGGTGTCTTGCATCCATAGCGCATGCGGTTTTCTGACTAGACAGAGATACAGGTTTTCCAAAAAACGCTGATTTTTAAAGTAAAGTTGAGTTTTCTTATATCAAAAACAATTTGCTCAAGACAAATTACACATATTCGGAATCAGCGTAAAAAACTACAGCGAGTGACGTATCATTTAATAGTTTTACAAATAAAAAATTGTTTGACAAAAATTCAGGATAAGGGTGGAATAGTAAGAATGATTTACAATTCACATTTGAATATGAGAAAGAGCGTAAAATACCTTTTTTAGACGTTGTTATCTATATAAATGAAAACAGTGAGGAAATAGGTACTAGTTGATATAGAAAAGAAACGGTAAGTACACGGCTATTAGATTTTAAATCGGACCATAGTTATGCGATGAAATAGAACATCGTTATGAACATGCTCAATAGAAATAATACTAGCAATAATGGAAAATTTAATAAAAACGACTTAAGGAGTTCAGAGGAGATTTTAAAGAACAGTTACTATCCAAAAAGAATAAGAACAACAATTTTTCAAAAAGCAAGTAACAAAATTACTAAAGAGAAGGGAGAAAATACAATAGTTATCCCTCATCGATACTTGTTAACAGAAAAATTAAGAACACATTTAGCCAAGTTTAATATTGAAATCTACAACACGTTAAATCCTAGCATAGGATCAACCCTAGTCGAGACTCCTGATTAATCTCCCGCAGGAGTCCTGGAAAAAAAGTCCTACAGGAGTCAGCAGGAGTCCTGTCACGGGGTCCCGGCAGGATCCTCTGTGGAGTCATGGAGGATTTTTAAGGGATTCAAGAGGGATTCCTCAAGACTCCCACAGGAGTTCTATGGGATTCTTAAGGAAGTCCCTGGGGAGTTCTCGGGGATTTTCAAG